CTCATCTCAACTCCTCGTCTAAGAGATTTAGATTCTTATCAGCTAGGCTTAGTATAAAAACCCGCTTGAGGGACTCGGAGTTTCCTTAGGTGATATCTAACTCAAAGTCTCGCCCAATGTACGTGACTAAAGTATGGCCTGAATAGAAGTCTCGCTCGAGTGGCCTACCACCTCACATAATAGACTTAGAGTTTCATCATCCATACTCTATATATAATCTTGCATGAGGGACTAATAGCTCCCATCGAGCAAGCTATCTAACTTGTCACCTGAGGGATTTAAAGTTTCCTCAGGCTGGGTCTAAACATATTTATCTAGCCTAGGAGGCGCGACCGAAGTTTAACCAAAGATATTTAACATAAATTCTTGTCTGATGGCTTAATAAAAGTCATGTCTGAAAGGTCAAACGCATCTCCTGAGAGACTTAAAGACTCATCAGTCGGGCTAAATATATAACTTCATATGAGGGAGTGAGAGTCCGATTGAATAGGCTTATTTAAACTCATCACATGAGATGCATGAAGTCTCATCAGCCACACAAAATATATAAATTGGCCTGAGGGAGTAACATTCCCCTCGAACAAGCTTAATTAAACTCTTTGCCTGAGAGACTTGAAGTCTCATAAGCCAAGATAAATATATAACTTCAACTTATGCATTAGGAGTCCCCTCTATCAAGCTTAATTAAACTCCTCGTCTAACAGACTTGAAGTTTCATCAGTTAGGTTAAATATATAATACCGCCTGAGGGATTGAGAATCCCTTGAACATGCTTAATTAAACACTTCGCCTGAGAGGCTTAGATTTTCCTCAGGAAGGATATAACATAAAGTATCTCCTAAGAGGTGCGACCCAAGTCTAACCCAAAAGACTTAACATAAAGTCTTGTGTGAGGGATTGATAGAAGTCCTGCCCGAGAGGTCTAACGCCTCGCCTGAAAGATTTGAATTCTCATCAGCCGGGAAAAATATATAATTTCGTCTAAGGGCCTGAGAGTCCCCTCAAACAGACTTAATTAAACTCCTCTCCTGAGGGACTTGAAGTTTCATCAGCCGGGCTAAATATAGATTTTATTGAGGGACAAAGAGTCCCCTAAAACAAGCTTAATTAAACTCCTTACGTGAAAGACTTAGAGTTTTATTAGGCGAGACTTAACCTATAGTCTTGCTTGAGGGACTCAACTTAAATTCTCACAAAAGAGACTTAATGTCTTATCTGAGGGCTTGATAGAAGTCTCCTCTTAGAGGTTCAACGCCTCACCTGAGAGACTTGAAGTCTCATCAGTCAGGCTAAATATAACTTTTCCTTAGGGAGTGGGAGCCCCCCCCCCCCCCCCTCAAACATGCTTAATTAAAATCCTTGTCGGAGGGACTTAGAGTTTCATCAACCGAGCTAAATATATAACTTTTCCCGAGGGAGTCAGAGTCCCCACGAACATGCTTAATTAGACTCCTCGCCCGAGGGACTTGAAGTCTCATCAGTAGAGCTAAATATATAACTTCATATAAGGGACTGAGAGTTACCTGAACAAGGTTAACTAAACTCCTCGCCTGATGGACTTAGAGTTTCCTTGGTCATGACTCAACATATAGTCTCGCCAAAGGGACTCAACTTAAAGTCTCGCCAGAGGGACTCGACTTAAAGTCTCGCAAGATAGACTTAACTTAATGTCTCATCTGAGGAATTCAACTTAAAGTCTGTCTAGAGGGACTTAACTTAAAGTTTCGCCAGAAGAACTCGAATTAATGTCTCATTTGATATACTCAACTTAAAATCTCGTATGAGGGACTCAAATTAATGTCTCTCCAAAGGGACTCAATTTAAAGTTTCGCATGAGGGAATCCACTTAAAAGCTCCTATGATACAAAGTAAATTAAAAAATTCACCCTTTACCAAGAGCGGATAACTTACGTAAATAGGTGGAAGACCAACAGAAGGGCGAGGGGTGAGTCATCCGACAAAGTCCCACTCATCCTAAATGGGCCATAAAGTCGTTCGATTGGGCTTAGTTCACCTAAACTCTTTTCCACTCGTATAAAAGACGTGGGAAATGATGTGTTTTAGGCCATAGGCCTAAAAGCCTTTATAGACACCTCATTCTAAGGATGGAGGGAGGACAAATCATCACACCATAAAGCATAACCCTTAACAAGATCATAACTCTTATGATCCCACCCCTCAAAAGCTTATACCTAAGTATATAAATAATCCACATAGTATTTCACCTCACTTTAGCAAGACTCCTAAAACCACCGTAAAACTCCATCATACAAGGCTTTTAACCATCATGGGCAAGCCCTAACTATCATACATCATAATATACTTACTTAGGCCTCTAAGTCCCCATGCCCTTGCAAGACGAACACATATACACGTGTACTTTTTGACCAAATACATAATCACACCAAAATCCTGATTTAAGACCTACTTTTCATAGACACGCCTGAAGGCCACATCAATCCTCTTACACCTAACATTCAAGACTATTCCTCCAAGGAATGGGAACCTGTATTTCTACCCATTCAGTCTATTTCTCAACTTTCATCCTCTCAATCTAAGGTCCAAGATCTTGATACAAATTCTCCATTCACCAATCCTCAATCCTTACCCCTTGTTCCCATTTATCCTTCTCCCATCATTTCCAAATTTTCAAATAGAATCATTCAAAAACCCAAAAGGTTTTATGATTTTGTTTGCAATAATATCACCTCTTTCCAACACAATCTAACACACACACACATACACACACACGCACATCAACCTTCCTTATTTAACTTCACCTAAACAATTTTGATTTATCCCCCCACCTCAAATCACTACATTTTTGCTCTTACATCTCAAGCTGAACCCAACTCATTTAAGCAGACTTCTCAACATGAGTGTTAGAATCAGGCCATGCTCACTGAATTACAAGCATTACAACATAATAACACTTGGCAATGACCTTTATACCTCATAACAAGAAACCTATAGGGTGGAAATGAGTGTATAAAATCAATAGATATGTTGATAGTTCCATAGAAAAATACAAAGCTCACTTGATGACAAAGGGGTACACATAACATGAAGGCATTAACTATATGAACACTTTCTCATTTGTTGCAAAAATGACAACTATCGGATTTCTCTTGACCATTATTGATTTAAAACATCGACATTTAATACAACTTGATGTAAAAAATGCCTTTCTCCATGATGTAAACAACGCCCCTCAAAGATTGATTCCATTTGTTCCTAATTATGTATGCAAGCAACAATAATCACTTTATGGTTTAAAACAAGCCAACAGACAATGGCTTGCAAAGTTATCCTCATTACTTCTTTCCTTCCACTTTCACTTTTCAAACACTCGGTGATTTAGATTGGACATCTTGCATTAATAATAGGCGATCCGCCACTAGGTTTTACATCTTTTTAGGTGACTCAGTCATCTCTTTGAAATCCAAGAAGGAAATAACTGTCTCTAGATCTTCATCTGAGGCGGAATACAAAGCTCTTGCTTCAACTGTTCGTGAGTCGTAGGGCTGGAAATGAGTCGAGCCGAGACGAACTCGCCTTAACTCGGTTCGGCTCGTTAAGAATTGGTTCAACTCAAGTCTTGGTTCGAGTTCGACACAAACTTTTTTTTAAGCTCAAACTCAACTCGTTAAATGTTCATGAACTATTCAGTTCATCTCGTTAGGTTCAACTCACTTGTTTCACGGATTTAAAAGTCTTTTTTTAAGTCTATTTTATTTTTATATATTTGGCATTTTAAATTACTATTTTTTAAAAAAGAAAAATATTGAAATAAAATAAAAGTTATGAGTATGGAATTTAAATTTGTTTCAAAAATCTACTAATTCAAAAACTACACATCTTTCAAGAGACACATTTGAAAGTCTAATTCAAAAACCACTCAATTGAAGTTTAAATTATCTAAAAAATCCATAACTTCGTCATATATTTAGAAAACTTACAAATTTAATGAAATAGTACACAAAAAATACAGAAATTGACACATTTTTATCACAGAATAATTATATCACTTGAAACCTTCATTATACATGTTATTTTAGCCAATGCCATAATGTCTCCAACAAGAATGGCTCTTAATGCAACTGTCACTTTTATTGCCATAACTAGTACATAAGAGACAATATAAATTTAAAATTTGGAGTAAATCTTTAAACATACTCTTAAAGATAATATAAACATTCTTATTTATAATCGAGTTGACTCATGAACTTAACGAGTCGATTTATGTATAGTTCAAGTTCAGCTCATTTAGTTAACAAACATAGTTTTTCGCTCATATTCAGCTCATTTGGTTCATGAACATAGTTCAACAATTTAATTGTCGAATCGAGTTTTGAACTATTTTCAAGTTGGTTTGGTTCATTGACAACTTTAGTGAGTTGCAATGGTTAGGGCTGGACAACGGGCCGGGTTGGGCGGGTTCGGGCCCAAAACCTCCACCCAATCCAAATCGCGGGTAGTAATAACAGACCCATTTTCGCCCGATTCGAGAGTCGGTTTAGACGGGTTTGGGTTAATGTGGACAGGTATTTATGGTTAATTGACTTATCCAATTTCACCACTCACCAATATTGACTGGTTGATTCCATCATTTATCATGAGCCTAAATACACATAACTTATATATAGTCAAGAGTTTATAAACTAACAGTATGCTCTAACAGGTTTACAATGAAGTTTCCACTGTGAAGTTTTCTGGACAACTTTGAAAAGTGCTTATCACCAACCATACAAATTGGGCATGATGGATCATTACTTTATCACTGTTGGCAACAAACTTCTGGTTGCTCCATGCTGATTTGTCAGACAAAAGCCTTGTGCAAGCTCCACAAGATTGTAGATCCATGGATGGTGAAAATGACAACCTGCTACTGGATCCACTAATCTTTCTACGACCTGAGCCTAATCACTCACCGTCAAAAGATCTATCTTTGAGACCTTGCCAAATATGGACTGAACCATGATTCTCAAGAAATGGATTTCTTATCTCTGTTGGGCCAAATTCCCACTTTCCAAAACCTGCAATTTATCTGCTAGTTCTTCAATATCATAGGCTTCACTCTTCACTGAACGCGATGGATATGGATCACTCTCACAATAACCTGCTCTGTCGAAGTAGAGGAAATATATCCCAAGATCATCAATAAGTTCCTGCACAAAGCAAAAACGTAATGACTATAAATAAATCAAAATTTTAAAATATTTTGTAAGAGACCAAGAGTAAAATCAATTCATCACAGAATATCAATTATAAAATCTTGTTAATAAGTTTTTACTTTATTGGTACAAGTTTCTATCATACTTCAATAAACTACAGCATATTCACATAGTACTCAATGAGATTATCTACTAACATAAGCACTTGCGAGACTATTTAAAAGAGCATATGAAAAAAACTTATAACTTGTCTATAAGCTAGTTTGACTTATTTCCATAAGTTCTCTGGAACATATTAAGCATCGCCAATGGCATACATGAGAGAAAAGAAAAGAAGCAAGTTCTTACTTGAGAAACTGGAAAATGTGTATCTTTGGAATTGGTAAATCCATGGACGACAATGATCTTGTACCTAGCTTCTTCCTTTGGAAAACCAAACTCCCGGTAGGCCAAATGTCTCCCATCATCGAGTTTCACTCTAGGTGAAGTAACTGGAGGACCATTAATGGAGCCACATATTTTGGGTGGAGGAAGCTTTATGGCCATATAAGCCCATCCTATGAGAATCACCACCGCTGCCACTGCTATCTGATTAATCATTACTAGAAAAACAAACTGGACTGACAATCATATCATCATCATCATCATCAAGAAAACAATGTAAAATTGTAAATACATTTAAAAGAGGCAACAAAAAACAGAGAAAAGAAAACTTGAACAAGAAACAGAGAAAAGAATACCAGAACCAGAAACAGAACATACACTTCAGAATATGGACATCAAAGTGTTGCATTCTAACTATTTATTACTTTTACTGTAAAAATGTTATTTAAAATTACCATCATATCAAAAGTTCTGGAAAAATGTGGTTACAATCTAGTTACTTGACAATACCACAATTACAGGTGAAAGTTTAATTAATTAGTTACTAAAATATATGAATACATATTATATTAAGTTGATCTCATCAGTTTTTAAAATTTCAAACTGCTTTATGAGCAAACTCTGGACTTGATCAAGTTTAGTTTCAGTTTGAGAAAACAGACAGAAGAAATTAATAGGAAGAATTTGTGTATAACCATTTGTAATCCTTGGTTCATATATGTATCAACCATATATCAAAAAACTCATATAGGAACAAACTGTTTTGCTTTGGCCTGCATGATCTTTCCTTTCCTTTTTGCAGATATTTTTGGAAAATGAGATTCCAAATCAAAATTACAGTTAAAGCAAAATTGAATATAAAAATGACCACTGAAAAAATAGTATCTGCACGACACTTAATATAACCACTTAGATACTTATAGTTATAGTTGCATTTTATAGAGAGAAAAAAACCAACTTTTATTTTTGAAACTTCTATACTAATACTGATTAGGAACAAAAAATCACTTAAACATTAATTTATGCTAAACATAAGAGTGTCAGTTTTATGCTAAAGCATAAAGCATACTCTCATGTTTGGGGTGATATAAGATACATGTTAGGTTCTTCTAAATTCTCGTAGCACATGAAAGGTGCAGAGATATAATGCAAAAGTGAAATCATTATACTGTATTTTTAAGGGAAGAGGGGACAATTTTTATTGCATATGCATATGGGATGAATTAAAGAGAGGCTAATCTACAAATACTACCTATTGTTATAAATATTTGCATCATGCAACAGAGAATCAAAGACAAACAAATTTGTGTATGTTTCCACTAGGCAACAAAGAACTCAGAAATACTAAAAGTAACAAATGAAGTTGATTCAAGCTAAGAATGCAGATGTAGGATAAAGTACCTCACTACCGTTCATGGTCATAAAATAGAAATGTATATGCCCCTTCAAAGCATACTCTCTTTGACGCGCCTCATATGCATGCGTGTCAAGGACTTGTTTGAAGCATAAAGCATACTCTCTTTGACGCGCCTCATATGCTAAACTTTCTATTCAAATTTAACAGTGTCAATTTTATGCTAAACATAAGAGTTGAGTCTTATAATTTTAGAATTAATCATATATGTGTATAGTAGAAACAGAAAGTAATAATAGGAACATGTTCGAATTCAAACATAGCAGAAAACTCAACCTGGTTTGTAAACCATTTAAATTACTAGCATAATTTCTAAGTCCAGAGTTATAAAAGCAAAAAGAGTATACCTTGTTAGTGACTCTATGTAACTGCAATTGCAATTAAAAGCTATTCTTCACGCTAAGCTCTGCAGTTGGAATTGAGAGAGATAAAATTGCTTGACATGGACAGATCTGCAACAAGCACACAGGGGAAGATTAGAAAATTCACGCATAGAGAAGCATCAGAGAAGAAAAATCACAGAATCATATACACACCAACACACACATACAAGAAAAGCAGAAAAAGCAGCATAGTACACACGAATTGGAAGATCAGAAAGAAAGAAATTGAATCACGTACACACGAGCAACAATGGAAACAATGCATAATTCATAACAGCACCAAAATTACAACATTGGAAATTGAAGGTTGGAACCTTACCTCTACTCAAGCTCCATGATGGTGAATGTGCGACATCAAGGAAGCATAACCAATTGCAGTAGTGAAGTAAAAGTTTGCATTGCCGATACCCTGTAAATTTCATTATACACTTGAGGAAATGAGGATAGCAAAGTATTTAATCTATTTGAAAATGTAGATCAACCAAAACTACACACCCTCCATATCCATAAGTTGTGCATCACAGGGCTAAAAACTGAAACTCCAACATAACCAAAACTACATACCCTCCATATCCAAAAGTTGTGCATCTCAAAATTCAAGGGACAAAATATAAATATATATTCTTCGATTCAATAGTTTTATATATATATATACATATATATATATATATATATATATATATATATATATATATATATATATATATATATATATATATATATATATATATATATATATATATATATATATATATATATATATATATATATGTCATATATGACCCCAAAAAATCAAAAAACATAGTTGACTTGAAAAATTGGACAACATAAACATTAGTTACAAAAATAATAATAAAGTAAATATGATATACATACATCCATTTCAAGCACAACCAGAAGGTTGTGGCTGAGACTGTGATGATGAGACACCTGATCTTCCCCTTGCTGCTAAAGACATTTGTTGAAACTCTAAAATAATGAAAAAAAATATTTTTTAGAAAGACATTATTATATAACAATAAAATATCTTATATATTCAAAATGAATTAATAAATTGACCTGTTACAATATCTTTTGAAAGCTCAAAATCTTCCATGAGGTTCATATCTTTGAAATAGGTTAAAGAAGGCCTTAACCAATTCTGGGTGCAAATTAAAGCTTCTGCCATTTCAGCAGTTAAAGAGCTCCTATAGGTTTCTATGACCCTCCCTTCTGTGCTAAAAGCACTTTCGGAAGCAACGGTAGAAATTGGTGTGGCTAAAATATCTTTAGCCATTATAGATAAAATAGGATATTCGGCTGAATTGTGTTTCCACCACACAAGAATGTCAAAGTTAGGATCCCTTTTAACACACTTACTAGAATTATACCCGTCAAGCTCATTTTGTTGATCAATCGAGTTTTATTCCTCTAAATGTTGCTCAAAAGCATCAGCTATAGCCATAATGGATGAACGGGTAGCACCTACAGTTGTTTCGTCATTGGAGACATTATTTCCACCACTACCAAAAGGGTGTGTGGAATTATGTTTTTGGTCATAAGCTTGCTTATACCAATCATACAACTTTTGTAAATTCGCTTTTATAGATTTTACCAAGTCACTACCAAAATTTGATCCAACTCCGTACATGTCCTTAAACGTCCACTCAATGTAACTCAACTTGTATCTTGGATCAAGAATAATACCAAAATATATCATCTTGTTCATCTTATCAGCATTCCCCCAATATCTATTATACTTTTCCATCATATCCCCACCTACACTTGCAAAAACATCATTTAAGTTCATTGTAGCTTGTTTCAACTCACAAAAAATGGCAGACACTTGGTGAAAACAAGTATGCAGACTCACACTTTGAGAGGTGGAAAAAATCTTAGTTGCTTCGTAGAATAACTTTAGAAAAGCACCAAAAGCCCTAGCAGTGTCCCAATCATCACTACTAGGGGGATTACCTTTTCCAAAGAACTCTCTATAACTCGACTCTTCATCCTCAATCTTTTCAAAAGCGAGTTGAAACTTCTCTGCAGCCTCTAGCATTAAATATGTCGCGTTCCAACGAGTTGAAACATCAAGACATACTAATTTTTTGCAAGTTATCTCAGCAAATTCAATGCATTCTTTAAACTTGGCTGCCCTATGAAGTGAGGACTTAACAAATCTAACAGCATCCCTAACACTAGTAACAAATAAATGTTTATCTTTCAAACCCTCATTTACCACCAAGTTCAAAATGTGAGCAGAACACCTCATATGAAAACACTCTTCATCCCCCATCAACCCATTCATATTTGCAACCTTTTTCTTTAGATATGTCACAGCAACATCATTGGAAGTGGCATTATCAACATTTATGGTTGACACGTTTCTGATTCCCCAATCCCTCAACACTTCTTCAATCTTCCTACCAACAGTTTCACCCTTGTGGTTTGGAATTACGGCGAAGCTTATAATTCTTTTTTGATACTTTCAATCGTTATCCACAAAGTGTGCCGTAAAGGTCAAGTAATTGAGATTTTGTATAGAAGTCCAACAATCAGTAGTAAGTGCTACCCTATTGCAGTCAGACTTAAAAAAGGCCTTTAACTTTTGTTTTTCATCCAAGTGTAGCTGAAAACAATCCCTAGTTACCGTACGCCTAGATGGGATGGTAAATTGGGGTTGCATTACTTTGGAATAAAATTTAAACCCTTCACCCTCTACTGCACTAAATGGCTGCTCATCTAGAACTACAAAAACAGACAACGCACTTCTACAAGCTTTCTTGTCAAACCTAGAGCTAACTTGAACCAAGTTACCATCTATAGTTGGGTATGTTAGAATAGTTTGTGTGGGGTCAGTTGACACAACAAGGGGCTTCTTAGGACATTTTAAAATATGATGGTTCAGGTTGGTGGTGCCGTGAGTCCTAGGGTCACACAAGTATTTTTTATGGCAGTGCTTGCAGGCTGCAGTGGGTGCATCAACAAGGTCATCAGGTAATCTAACAAAGTGTTCCCAGCAAGTAGATGATTGCCTAGAACCACTTGCACTAGATTTCCTCTTTTTTGTAGGCTGTGTAGTTGAACCTACTTCATTAATCGGTGGATTTTGATTAGGCTCACCAGTCACTGAAATAACGAAGGAGCCATTATCAAAAACTACCAATCAACGTTCCAATTCACTTAAAAACTATGATCAAAATCATATTTATAAACACGTTGCATACACTTAAAATCATACTAAAACATATTGTGTACTGTAAAGAAATTACGTTGATCCATTCCACTTTGACCTTGGTCCATTCCACTTGGTTAAAGAAATTGTGTACTATAAAACACAAACTAGTCAAAAGATTATAGTATTAATTACAAACCAACTTGTCGGTTGAAGCATACATTTACACCAAATGGAGCTAATTTCATGAAGGAAGTAGTGATAT